ACTCCAACCAGCCACCCAACAGCTCTCGAATCCCCCGCGCTGTCCAGCAGGCGTAACTTGCGCGGCGCGTCTTTCCTGGATCACCATCGCCAACCAAAAGGCATGCTCTATTTTATGGTTGAAGGAATACGTCCGGAACGACCAAACATCCAGGATGTATCACTGTTTGCTGGGCTCTGTAAAGAAGTGGACAGGTTTGCATGTTTCAACGGACTCATCTGCCACATAGCGTGCCATGTTCAAATAATTGGGTTGTTTTTTCCTCGCGCGCGGGAGCCTGATGCTCTTCCAAGCCTCGCAGTGAAATGGGCCTGCTGCAAACCGACACGCGCCTGGCCTGGCTGCATAGAGGCAGAAGGCCAAAAGGCCACTCTTGATGATGATGCAGGCGAGAAGGAGGCATACCAATGGCCCCTCCATGCCTCCAGACTCCTGCGCTTACAAGCAGGTTCTGGAAAAACTGAGCGCCTGTGTATAGACAGAATGACCAAGAGTTCCATCCAACGCTCTTGACTCAAGAATTTGAAGCCAAGAACTGCCTGTCTTCCCTGGCCTTCCAAGACAAAAAATGCTTGACCCAGTTTTGTAGTCTCAATCCTCAGTAACACACGAGTTTTTGCCAAAAACCCGTTAAGTCCAGTGCTTTTTGGAACACTGCAGGTCTTTTCCTGAACATCAAAGACCCCTTCAACACCGAGCGCAGGCACGTCGTTTGGCGCATCGTCACCTCTTCGCCATAGCTGGAGATGAGCTTCTCCAGCTGGTCATCCGCCAGGCCGCCCCGCAACCTGCCGTGGTTTTCGAGACCTGGAGATGGGTCCTTTTCCGGAAACCACCATCCGTTCGGAAGGACTAAAGTGGACCTCTTCGGAAGGACGTTGTTCGTGCGTCGTTGTTCGTTCCCGAACACGTTCCCGAGGGCCGTGAACGATCCTTGGTGCGCCCTCGACATGACGGTGTAGGCCGCAAAACGCCGATTCAGATTGCAGTGAAAGAGTGAAAGAGTGTCGTTTTTCGTGGGAATTGGCCTTTCTTCCTCTCTGAAACTAGGGGCTTGTGGATTGCTGTGTGTAATTGTTGAGGAATATCAATGATATCAATGGTTCAAGGTAGTGGCACTGTAGTGGTGTAAAGCAAGAAATTGCCCTTGCATAGATCAATCATAGGTGGTTTACCCGCTATTCCCATATTTGACCAGTGGCTTGAAAAGCCACAAGTGTATAATATTGAACAGAAAGTTTAAAGCATCCTGAGGCTGAAGACCTGAGCATGAAAAAATGTATCCACTTAGAACAGCCCTTGGGCGTGGTTTGTGGATGTTTTTGTATTTGTACTTGTATTCCTGTTGGCTACTGCCTAACTCACGTTGTTCATGGTTTACGTTTGATTGCTAGATAGCGTTTAGAAAGCTTATAGGCACTTAATGAATTAGGGTATAGAAGTTATAAAGCCAATGTTTTTTGTATTAGTTCATTACTTAGCTAAGTTTAACTTATAAGTTTTGTAAGTTCCTGAGACCTTTTCCAAACTCCACATTTGGCATTGTTCGATGCATGAAAAATCTATGTGTGTTAGTTTGTGCGCCCCAAAGCAAAGGTCTCACGCAAAAGGTATGGTGTGTTTCTTGTCTTCAATTGACACTTTCTGGTCGCCTATAAATACAAAGGATGGAAGCATGTGTTTGCGATCTTTGGCGGCTCAATGAGCCGCCTGGAACAGCAAAACCCATAGATCACATGTCCTCCGCCAGAGATTGCACCGCAACACCGAACGGAGGTGAAAAGGACACAGCAAAAGCTAAATGGAAAAGTGATTTGATGCAACTCATTGACGAAAATAGACCCAGACCTTGGAGAGATGTGCAAAATCATGTTTGTCATACATGTTTCGCACTATTTATACATGTTGTACATCATTTATTCATGTATAAATTGAGTCTTTCAATGTGTACATGTATAAATTTGCCTTTGTTCATTTGATACATGTATATGTTTATACGTTCTTACATAGTTATACATCATTTTTACATTCTATATGCACAACATGTTGCCACGATGGCGGCTCATTGAGCCGCCCTTCAAGAAAGCAAACAATGTTGAAGCTATAGTGATGAATGCAAAGAACGCATGAATACACTGTATATACATATATAATCTAAATGTATCCATCATCAAGCTGGCTGGCGGCTCAAAGAGCCGCCATCTGCATAGCCAGCTCTGGTGGAATCCATCTGGCTGGCGGCCCAAATATAGCCAGGCATCGGTATACCATCTTTACGTGCAAAGGAAACGACTTGTTGATTGAAAAGTTTGGTCGCAATTGCTGCTGTCAACAAAACCAGTGTTCTGCAAAACAAGTCTCTGGACACAAGTTCCAAAAATAGAAAATCTACTGCTTTCAGTCACAAAAAGTTAGCTTCCATAAGTAATTTATAAGTTCTCTGGGCTCAACGCTTAAAAGCTCTTTAAATCATACTTACAAAAGTTACAAAATACCACAACCTTTTACATATACTCATTAGTACAGCAACTCCCTCTAAACAACTTAGCTTTGTTAGTGTTCTTTTAGAGAACTATAAGCCGGTTATAAGCCGGCTATATTACAAGTCTGTATGTTTTCCCTAAGAAAAAGCCAACCACCAAGTGCGTCCGGGACCGAATTTGTGCATGTCGGTGCGATGCGCGAAGAGGGGATGACGGGCTGTGCGACGCGCGATGATTTAGCATGGTAAAACATGTCCCTCTCGCATGTCTCACATATTCAGATGGTGTGAGGCCGGAACACGTCGGAACACGTCGGAACAGCATGAAATCTACGCATCCCGCTCAAATCAAGCGTCAGGATGGCAGGAAACGTCGCGCTGCGGGGAGCTGGGCCACTCCGGCCGACTGTTTCGACGCCGGATGAGAGAATCGTCGTCGCCAATCAAGTTCTTCTTAATGTCCAAACCAGGGAAGCGAGAGATACTTATAACATCTGATATAACCGGCCGGCTTATAAATATAAAACAACACTAACAAAGCTAAGTTGTTTAGAGTGAGTTGTTTTACTTATAAGGTATAATATAAAAGTTGTTGTGGTATTTAGTAACTTCTGTAAGCATCTTTTAAAAGGCTTTTTCAAAATGGAGCCTAGTCTGAAAACAATAACATTCTAATTCGATTTGTTTTCACTTATTTTTAGATACCTTGTTTGCAGAACAATGGGTGTGTACAGCAGCAATTGCGACCGAAATGTCCAACCGAAAAATCCATGCCTTTTCACGTATATTAAGACGGTATACCGATGCTGGCAAAACAAATGGCGGCTATATATGGCCGCCAGCCAGATGGGTTCCATCAGAGTTGGCTATACAAATGGCGGCAGCAAACACAAGAACCTCCATTGAACTTATGCAAGGGCAAGCCAGTTGCTACGTTGCTTAAAGTTGCAGGCATCAGGATGTTGCTGTTGGGGGGGGAAACCACCTCAAGCATTGAACTATGCAACAGCCAGGCGTTGGAATTGAAGGATGTTTGAGGGAAATCTTATCAGCGTCTATTACGTAACCTATGCAAGGGCAGCGCCAGTGGCAAGTTTCATTACCAGAAGGTCTTATACTCTGCGACAACAAAATCAAAGAGCTTTAGTCGTCGAATCCTTGCCCTCCAGGAACGTAGTGGCTCTCAGAAGCTCCAAACCAAACACACCAAAAATATCCCAACATGATGTTCATCTATACACCCGCTGAAAGAACCATGGAAGTGGAACGTAGGCCCGGCCCCTGGAAGACCATTGGCCTCCTTTTTGGGGGAGAGATCACATGAAGCCTCCTAAGCTCAGAGCCCAAGGCCCGGAACAGCCCGGAACTAGCCTTGGCTGCTCCTCGAAGACTCTTCTAAGCAGATCCCGCCGCTCCTGGCAGACAGACTGGCTGAGACAGACTGTGGATGGACAACATCCTGCACCAGACTGGGCATACTGTATACGTAGGGTTAGTGGAATTCTGCGTATCAATCTTGACACTGGTAGAGGAAACTGCTTGCTGCTTGCATGTAAAATTGTATATAACATGTTCTGATGGGTGAAAAACGAGCTACCCCCTGGAAAACGCACATGACCCTGAAAACCATTGAAAAACACGGGTCTCCAGAGGACATTCTTGCCTGGTCCCATTCTCAGCGTATATGGCCACCAAACTGTCGAACTGTCGATCCATGGGTGGCCCGGCCCCCCACAGACTCCATGGGACTGGCGGACTGCCGATCGGGGGTGGTTGCGGGGGCCAATGGGGCGGCATGTCTTCCAGTCCCATTAGTCGTGTCTGGGTACGAAGTCATGTGAGAACGATGCACCAAGAGTGGGGCCGTCCGCCCCAAGAAAGTGGTGTCGAGCTGAGCTCTAGCGCTATGGGAAGAGACGAAGAAGGTGGGACAAAGGAGACGAAGAAGGTGGGAGCTTTGAGCCATATAGCTGTTGCATGCTTTATCCCTCGCAGTCTGGTCCAAAAACCCAGAATCCGCATGTTTCTTTGTGTGCCGCCTCAACCCATGACCCCATGGTTCAAACCTCCACATCCTCCACCGACCCGTGACTGCTGCGGCCAGCGCCACACCGGCGACGCACCGGTCCTCCTCGTCGGAGGACCTGAGCCGGATCGATCGAAGGGCGAGGGGCGGGGCGGGGTGGATGCTCCGGGCGAGGAACTCGCCTGTGATAAGAAGACCCAGACACTTCACGTGTGGAATATTGACCTACATTGAAACAACGACACCAATTGATCGGCAGTCCTATTAGGCACCCATGGAGTGAGTGTCTGGGAGAGGGAAAGAGGGCAATGAAGGGGTTTCATAGCTGCCAGCTCCTCGATGTGTTCAGATTCAGACTCCTTCCGAGATTCCGTGAGTCCTTGAGTCCGTGACTCCTTCCCTGTGGCTTCGCTGCGCTTCCCTGGAAAAATCCACTGCCACCTTCTCGGAAGGGACTTGGATCCTCCATGCCTATGTAGAAGTGTTGAACACCTTCTCAAAGGGTACATATATATATATATATATATGCGGATTGGGTCCATCCCATTACCAATAACAGTGGATGATGATGGTTAGGTTGTAGGCCTTGTTCAAAAATAGAGATGTTGCTTGTTTTCTGACTCTTACAGGTAAGTTCGGACAGACCTGTCCTATGTGGATAACATAGGGCTTGGATGCTTGGTCTGGTTCCAAGGCGAGACGCGTGGAAAAGCTCCTTTTCCCAGCAGACTGCGCGTTTGAAGGACAAACACCAACTGCGGGTTGCCCGGTGCAGCAGCAAACTCTGCAAAACGGTGCAGCAGCAAACTGCGGTATCCCATGAGGTTTCTTTGCACATCCCATGGTTTTGATCTGACTTGGAAACTCAACTAGTGACAAACTGAACGCAGAGAATGGTCATCAACCTCAGAGAATGGACACCTTGTTCACGGAATTCAAAGTTCGATCTATTAAGAGAATGAGTTCCAATCGAGCCAAGTGTACCAAGCTATGATGATATGGGGCATTGATCCATCCATCCTCTACAAACAACATCAAATCACTCCTTAAGATTACAGGGGTGCTTTTGATGGTGCTATCTTCTATGGTGCCCTCCATCGCCGATCTTCCACACCTCGGAATTTCCAGGTTTCATCCGATCACATCTCGTATCTGAACAGTCCATCCAAGATGCCCGAAGAGCTTCTCCAAATTCTCGATGAGAAGGCCGATCATTGTGGACACTGCGAAGGCAGAGAAGAACAAAATGCCTAAGGGCCTTGGAAAAAACACACACACCCGCGCACACATGGCTCGTGTTCTGGCTACGACCAGAACAGGACGGAAAAGTTGAAGTCATGAATTAGAATTTGGGATCTTGCCATGAAAGTCTCACAGTACAGTGGAATAATATGCACTGATCTTCGACCAGAACCGCAGCATAATCGTCCTGAAGTAGACATTGACAATGGGCAGACCTCTTTTGGCATGCCGCGCTTGTTCGATCTATATATATATACTGTACATCCGGATGACGAGTAAAACCAACAGTACTTTTGCAAAACAAGTGGCTGAGCTGGATAATGCTAATAGGTGAACAATTCTCATCAATCATGAGGCTCAGAAGGTCCCAGCGATACAACCCACTCACAGCTTCTTTCAAGCGGGTACAAGCAGCAGACCGGATCCAACGATGGGATCATCCTGAACGGAACGGGTCAGCAGCAGGCTCTTTCTTTAGCAGCGCTAGGGTCACCCACCGACCAAGGCCGAGTTGAGTAAGGCTTTTGGATAGCCAAATCCAGAATTAGAGACATGGAGCAAAACGGAGCAAGTCCTGCTTTTTTTCACAAATGAGAAGGCACCAGTCAAAGACCCTCAAAACAGGTGTTTCAGCTTCCAAACCAGGCCAAGACGCGTAAAACGCTTTTTCCCGCGAGGGTAGAGGTGCATGTCTCGATTGTCACGAACCTTCATCCTCGGGCGGCTAGGTTTGTCGTTCGAGGAGCAAAACCGTGTTTTTCTTCAGCGAGCCACAAGTACAGAGATGCGATGTGGCTTAATCTAAAAAGCAAAAAATATTCCAAATTGCGTAAAAATACTTTGTCCAAAGAACATGTTGTTGTTCAGTTCAGACTTGAGAGGTGAAACAGTCAATACTTTAGAGGGCACCCGGGAATCTTACAGCCAGTCTCGCAGGTTTGGAGATGAGCTTCCCCTGTTTTCGAGAACCTCAGCTTAGACCGAGGGATTGTTGCCCAAGCCTCATACGACAAAAGGGACCCAAAACCTCCTCAACCTCTTCCACGTCTTCATTGGCGAATCATGGGAATCAATTCCATCATCCAAGTGGTGGAATTGATATGAATTGACTAAGGTGTTCCAACTGTCCAGCTTTGTCAAGAATCTTCTTGACACAAACCCGGCTTACTAGATCATCTGGCACATGTTTCAACAGGGCACCAAATCAAGTGGCCACCACAATTGTGGCCTTTCTTTTTCGCGTTGCCCGTTCAACAAGCCGAGCCTTTTGTTTCAAGCCTCCACATGACTAAAAGATCCCAAAGATCCAAAATGGTGATCCATGAGGATTCCTCCACAGCCAACTCGCATTTGTTCTTCTTTTGCAAACATGTTTACTCCCCTGCAGATTAACATGGAACCCCAAACCCACTGGGTTGGTATTCGGAAAATGGTTGAAACCACAGGTCAATTCTCTGGTTCTATGTTACTTTGCGGGGGAGTAAACAAGTATCAAACATCCCCCGGACGCATCCACCGATCCTTGAAGGTCTGGAGGTTTTCAGGTCAGACGGCCCAGCAGCTGGGATGGTCTGAGGATGAAGAGACCAGAGGCATTGACAGAATGACCTGCTGAGGTATCTTTTCAGGGGATGTGTTTTCTTTTTGAGGATTCACCAACCTTCCGGAGGTCCTTCAAAGGATCTAGTTCTACCTCTCAGAACACCGGGTTTCTCGACATCCGGATTCCCAACAGTGCCATACACATGCATTACGAACCCCTAGCTGCCTCAATTAATCAAGTCTTCTACACTTCGATCTTGAAGGTCCTTCGGGTCTTCCATGAGAAAAGCCAGGTGGAGATTCTCCTAAAAGCCAGGATCCACTTGTCGCCTCTGTGGATCTCCTGTGAAAAACATCGCCCCACACGGCCCAGAGCATCTCCGAGCATCTGCGTCACCGCCAGAATCGCGGAGCTCATCACATCGCCCAAGGACTCGAAGATGGAGGCTTTGATCAGCTCACTGCCGGAGATGAAATAAGCTAAGCCTGAGAAAGTTTTGGCCCCAATTCTCTCATCCCGTGGCATGAATGGCCAGCTACGTCCCAGCTATGTCATCTAATGGCCGTACTGGTATGTGTTTGTTCGAATCATTGGGAGAATGCATCAAAATACGCTACTAGGAACAAGTGCATCTAGTAACAAGTGCCTTACTAGTAGTAACAAGAAGCTTGTAGAAACAATAATACATGTAAAATACTCGACTGACCCGTCGGCCCCGTCGTTTTGGAATGTGGTAGGCGGGTGTCAGAGACGTGGACAATGACGTTGTCAAGTGCCGAGGGGTCGAGACAAATGAATGTGGTTGCACTTGGCCGACTGATTGGAGCGAAAAACATCGAGAATCGACTGGCATCGACTTCGGCCATGTGTCAAAATGGGAAGGAGCTGGTTGTGTAATTGGTGTAACATCATGAGTCAAACAGCTGGTTGTTCCGGATTCAGACCATTAAATCAATGGGCCAGGAAGCTAAACGGGTAATGCTTGTATTAAGAGCAGTCCAAACCGCCGCTGTCATCTCAGGCTCCCGGCATTTGATGGCCACCAGTGTCACGCCTCCAAGCCAAAATGAGAGGCTCACTGCTGTACTCGCCAACCAGGCACGAGTCTGCCAACGTCGCGCGGCGGCACCCCGGTTCGGACGGCTAGACGACAGCAGAAGACACGCCCGAATCGCGAAGCAACCTCACGGACGCTCACACGTGATCAGAAGACGCCCCCAACGAAAAGAAACCAAAGCCAAGCAGTGCGGTCGGTGATCAAAGGGCACTCTGTGAAAACAAGTGGTCTATATGACTCCAAGAATTGAACGAGGAAAGCTAGACTCGACATGTTCTCAGGTTTCCGCGTGGCCATTCCACTGTTGTGCCAAGGTCTCACCAGATCTCACCAGAAGGAAGCTGCTGATGCATTAAAACTGACCTTTCTTCCACACCGAAGGTTTAAAAAAACAAGGAAACACCAAGGATCGGCCTAACCTGGTTACTGATCCGCTGCCTCGTCTCAGTTGTGTCACCTGAGTTCGGCCCCTCTGGACATCTCGGAGAGTAGTGTAGTCCAGCGACACAAAAAGACTGGATGGTCAATGGTCCAAATAGAATTCTTCCAATTGCAAATTCTCTGCTTCATATATTGGGGAATCATATCACATGCTTCCCAAAAAAAAACTGAGTATATATAATCACAAGTGATGAGGGTGCTGTCCAGCAACTGGCACACAGAGTGGGTCTTTTACTGTTTTTAGCGAGCGCCGTTTCATCAACCTCGCCCAAGCCTTTGATGCTGGTTCGTCAATGTTTGGGCCATGAACTCCTTTTCATCTAACCCCGAAGAGACTCTCCAAAGAACGTAGCTCCACCGTTCTAGCAGATTCTCTTCCTATTGAGATGTTCAACCATTAATGACCGGAACGTTCACAAAAATACAAAATAATTCACCGCAAGCAGCGACATTCACTGCAACAGAATTCACCGCACCCGCCACGCCAACCACTGTGGGGACCGGCCAAGCTCACTCGCCGCCCAGCTCCGATTCGCTTCGACGCCGCCGCGGACCGACGTCGACACCGTACATGGCGCGTGTCACGCGTGCACCGCGCCGGCGCCTCGGCTGGCAGTCTCTCCGTCGTCATCAGTGGATCCCCGAGACGCCGCAGATCCCCGAGACGTCTCCACTCTGAAAAGCCAGGGGCCACGGGGAAGGAGCGAGACAGATCGAGCGGAGCACCACTGAGCAGCACGGTCTGCTCTTCTCCAGTTGCAGCTCCGGTGTGGGGCATCTCTAGACCAGGCTGCCGTGTATAGCTTTGTGAGGGGCGTCACCAGTGTCTTGATGACAGGGAAAAGAAAGACCTGCAAATGCTTTTCCACTTGCCAATGGGCCTTTTCGGTCGTATCACACCACCCTAAAACCCTGGTTTTACAGATTGGAAGAGTAACCTGGTTGTTGGTTCGCAAACCTGCCATTCGTGGAAAGCCTTGGACAGGCATGTATTCTCTGCCTTGGACAGGCTGCTGGCACCACATGGCACCACACCCGGTTGGCATCATCGGATGGTTGAGCTGGGCAGCTGGGCAGCTGGAGAGTCTTGTAGTCTAACAACCTTAGTAGTAACAGTAAACCAATGGTTGCTCGGATCATTCAACCCATTAAAATCCATGGTGGGCCAGAAGTCCTATAGCACATTCTTTGAACCCACCCAACCCGGCCGTCACGTCCGGTGGACGACTGGCGGACCGATGAACTGGCTGAGAGGGCTGCCAGACGTCTTGACGCACGAAACTGTCAACCCGGAGCAAACACAAAACGACTGAAGGCTGAAAGTCCAGGTTCCAGCTACAACGACGTAGAAGTGAAGATGTTACGTTCTATAATTTGTATTAATTTCTAATATATTCAATGTAATACAACATAATATAGTAAATCCATTTGTGTTAAAGAAAGGGTTTAGAAACTGTAGCACGTCACACCTTTATGTTCTGCTTTAGGGGAAGGACTGCACGTTTCTCCAACGAGGCAAGGACTCGACGTCTTTTTGGACTTTCGATCCAAGTGCGCCCTCCGGCCGGTCCAGTATTCCTTCGGAAGCTTCGGCCGGGTCGTAACACATTCACACCTGATGCTATAGAGATCTAGACTTGGCTGTGGCTTCCGACCGGCTCGAGACTGGTTTCGGGTGAAGCTAGATTCTTGTGTGATGTTTGTTTTGGCGCCATGAAGTCGGATCTCCTGGCATTTGATCAACAGGAATCGCAACACCTTTCACCACAGCCAAACGTTGGCGAATGATTCTCGCCTGCGCCCATCACCGATTCGCGGCGCCCATCAGTAAGTCTTGCCGCGCCCTGAGCGCCTGGACGTTTCGGTTGCCTGGATCCGTCATCCCAGATGGGTTGCTCAAAGAGATGGCCCCTTCATAGCCCTTCTATGGGAGGTTTGATCAACTTCGAAACCAAGGAACCACCAAAGCTCTCGTATTGTTGTCGATCTTCCTTGTGCTTCAGGCGTCCTGGGGAGATTCGCCTAATCGCAGATCTTGGATGATTTTTGCAGGGGCTGCGGCTGAGCTCGCTTCCAAGGTGATAGACATGACCCTGCTGTCAAGGAGCATGTATCTTCCAAGCCATTAGTGGCGCGGGTTGTCTATCAGCAGGTAAGAACCATATTAGTTTCATGATGTGTCATGCCCTCTGTGCCCGCGTGCCGGATAGCCCATGTGCAACGTTGCTGCTCGCCTGGCCTCCTGAAAAAATCCTGAATTCAATGAAGCCATGAAAGACAGCAGGAAATCACCACCGCGATGCCAATGACGATTGCAAAGGTTGCTGCAGCTGCGCCATTGGGGGTAGTCTTCCCTTCCTTGGTGTAGGACACCTCAGGTGGGGGTCGGGTCTATCGTCTCGTGGTGTCTGATGTGGCGGAATTCGAGTGTACAAACCCAGTTGCCACCGCCACTTCAGGTCCCTGGATCTCACTTACCGGGTCGACGTACTCATGGGGCCCATGACTTCGGACTCAGTCCACCCCGAACAGAGAAGGGTCACATCATCTGAACGGTTAGCGCTTCCTGAGATCTTCTGAGGGACCGACCCAGCGACTCACCCATCCCCGAAGTCCCAGAAGTCCCATCCCAGTTCGACGAGCAAAAACATCCGGGTCTTCATCCTCCGACGCGAAAGTGTCCCCCTGGAAGTCCAAGACTAGTTGGAAAAGATCGCCTTTAAATGATCGGAAACGGAATGTCCTTTAAGTTGAAAGATGCGATGGACTTCTAAAGTCTTTCACTGGACTTCTAGGGGTTCATTCAGCTGCCTCGTCCCCCAAGACTTGGTCTGCCATCCAAAACACCCTCAAATACATGGCGCCGGGCACACCTGCGCAGTGCCGAGGTTCCATCACCAAAGAAGAGGTCAGGCGGACGTCCGAGTTCGGAGGATGGGGCAGGTAGTGGTTTGGTCAGGGAGATCTGCCTTTAAAAAATCCTAAAGCAAGGAGATCTTCAAAGGTCTTCATCTCTAGAATATCAGCAGACATATTCAACAGAATAATTGAGGATCATGTTAAATTCCTGGTTCCTTTAGATGTTGTTTGATGATCCAGGAAAACGGATCACAAAATGAGTCCTTCACCCCATACGATCCCTTCTTGAGTCCGGATGATGACTCCCAAGTGAGGTAAAATGAGGAAGTTATTGGCGATGTTTTGAGGCCAAACTCAATAAGAAAACCTGAATATGGTTCATTGAAATGTCTTATACAAGTATTAAGTATCATGAACGAATCTATCTCTACGACGCCGCGCGCGCTGGGGGGATGCACCCCATGGATTTTCATTTTTCCTCGGCTGAGCAGGTCTGACACTCAACCACTTGGATTCTCCCGGGACTGTGGACAGCTCAGTTGACCCCCCAAACAAAAAATAGGCTGCCGCCATCAGACTCATCCCGCCAGTCCGGGGAGGGGGGGCCTCGCACGGCTGAGATGAATTCAGAATAAGGTACCCATGGCCTCCAAGGAATCTCCACTCAACACTGGTAAGGTCCCACCATGCCCCGAGCTGCTCTATCAGAGACCTGAAACATCAAATGTCCATACGTCAGGTCCAATGCCTTCCACCAACCCCGAACAAGAAACCCATGAACCATTCATGAACACCTCAGACATGGACGACGCTGCCCCTCGAGGGATCAGACCATCTTCTTCCACCTTCGCAGGCACGCGCTGCTGTGTTTCCCCGCGAAAAGTCGTGGCTTCAGATGCGGCCGCGGGGCAAAAACATCCGACGACCCCACAGGTGCCACCGAGAAGTCCCAAAATGCCTCGGCAATAGCTGCGGGACCGAAATTTCAAAACACGAGAAGACGTATCTTATATAGAGTTGTAACTCATGGGAACTGGAAAACATACCAAAATAGTGTGGTTGCAAATGACGTACATTTTGATTTTTGGTTTTGCAGTCACTTGTAGCCAACTTGCAGCCACTTGCCCAGGCAGCCACTTGCAGCCACATGTCACTCAAGCAAGTAAATTTCAACACTTGCACTTTGAGTTTTTTTATGGAAAAGCTGCTAGATTTCGTCGTCGCTAGCTCTACAGAAGTTTGGTATTTATTCTCGGAAAAGTCTTGGATTATTTCACGATTTCTCCGCGCGCAGCTCTGGAGAAAACCGGAATTTCTTCGCAGAACAGCATTGCAGAAATCTTGGTTTTCTCCAGAGCTGCGTGCGGAGAAATGATGATATTTTCCGGACAGAAGTAGCAGTCACTTGCGGCCACTTGCTTGGCCAGCCATTTGCAAACGGCTGCAAAAGGGACACTCAAAATGCGCACTTCCTGCGATCTCAATGGAAAATACAAGGCCGGCCAGTGTTGGAATTTATTGCAGAACGGAGATGTCACACTACCAGGGCACGTTTCTTCACTTCCATTGCTGCAACGTCCGCAGGCAATGAGCTTTGAAGCCAAGCGAAGGTCTGTGCCAGAGTACGTGCGGGATGCGCCCACAAACACATGCTCAGTGAGCGCATCCTTTGTGGTTAAGTAGTTTTTAGTGATTGACGACTATGTCTCCAACAACGCGGGGTTCCACCAAGCCCTTGTGAAGAAGTTGTTCAACATAAAAAACCGGGCAGCTGGCGCGGCTGTGGCAGCTTGCGGAGAAACAAATTTGGAGTCAACAACACAGGTGAACACAAAATCTGAACCTTCATGACTGTGATGCTGAAGGGCAGCTTAAAGCACGGACTTGGGCGCAACGATGGTAGCAGTGATGGTAGCATGTTGATACAGTCTCCGGGCAACCGAACCATAGACCCTCAGCTGGGTGATGAGTCTCAGCCCGGCGCAGCCAAAAGCTTCGTTGAGTTGACGCGTGGCCAGGATTAGGAACAGAAAAGTTGAGCGACGGCTGGGCTGCACTCACGGGCGCTGGTCCTACAAATCTTCACCCACACCATTGCCACATTGGACAGCTTCTGCATCAGGTCCTTGACACCGTTGCCATATGCCACCTTCTTTGATATGCGCAGTTTCAAGCCCTTTCATATTCTTTGCTTGCCTGAACTTCAATGACCTGCCCACAAGCTGATGCTGCCTCACTTAGCAGAGAGCTTGCGGCAGCTGGAGAGATTGGGTGGTGGCTTAGTGGATGATGGAGAAGCTGACAGCCATTGTTTTTTTTGCATATTGCTCTTCTACGCAAGCTCCATGGCACATGATGGCACGTGTGACGGGTTCGATGAGCCCAGTCAGCTTCGCAGTGCGACGAACCGATCTTGCAGCAAGTGCTTCGGCAGGTGGGCTTGCATGATGCCACATGAGGTCAGCCACTTGCCCGGCTGTAAAGAATCGCATTGCTGCGTTTGCAGAGCATCATCAGCCAACCGTTTCCAGTTTCAATGAGAGGCGCCCCATCATCTGCGTCACCTGGAAACGCAGGACGGGTAGTGGCAGCTTCAACAAATTCTTCAGCTGGGGCAGCCATGACGTTCTTGCCGCAGTGCAGGCGGCTCGAGGTAATCAGAAGTTTCTCAGGCCCCATGCACGGGTCAGGACAGAAAGGTGCACGGAGGAGCCGCTTTGGCCGCGTGGGCGGGCAAGAAGGACAGTGGCTACGGTGACTGAATCACTGTGGTCACTATATCACTTCAAGGATCAGAATTCGGGGAGCAAAACGCGGCAAAAGAAACATGATCGAAATGCCAGCAATGTTCACTAGTTATAGTATATGTTACAGTTAGTTACAAGTTAATAAGATGTTATAAGTTATAGAGGCGGTTGCGGAGTCCAACATGTTTTCAGGATGGTTGCAAAAATGGAGGCCACTGGTTGTTTAATTAGATCTCTTTGTAGGATCTTTAGTGAACATTTGCCAGTAGTTCGGCTGTCGCAACCCAAACCTGTGTGAGCTCTGACAGTAGCACTTCACTTTAATGACTTCCACCATGGCCTCGACATGTCCCAACCCCGTTCACCATCCACTTCTGGATCTCTCCACTGTTGCACTTGAAACCCACCCACCAGACGACCAATGCAGTTTTCCCAGCCGAGGAGAACAGCCGCGCGACTGGAGAGGCTGCTGAGGTATTGTGCCAAGGCCGCTGAGGAGAGCAGCAGTGTGGGCATTCCAACACCCAAACGCCAGGCCTGTAGAGCGCTTGACTCATGCGCTGATCTTGACAGCAGGTGAAAGGTGTCACAGACCTCGGTCGAACTCGAACGAAGCATTGGTAGCATGGTTCTTTTTGGCGTGATTTGAAGCGTTTCAGTAAGGGGGGAGGTGTTGAAGGGTTGAAGCCCATACTGAAGGAGTATTTTGGTGATCCTGGACTGCTGAAAGAAGACATGCAAAAGAATGGAGAAGAAGGAACCTGCAAGCTGCAAAACTATGGAGGCGCAGAAAAGTTGCGCTTCCTCGGTGGCAGTCACTGAAGCCTCTTCCCCATATTTCCATGTGCTGATGTTGCATGATGTCGCCACCTTGCAACAACAATAGGATGCCTTTCCAAGTATTGGCAATATGTTTATCCCTGTAATATACTGTATATAATTAATGTTTTGTCCCAGCAGCCAACGAATGAAGAGGCATCAGGATCAAAGGCATGCGCAAGGCATTGGTAAAGCTCAGAATGCCACGGGCCACCTCATTGGTATCAGCACGCACCAACCTCTCTGCAAGTCATGAATTCCTTGACTGCCAAAGCCCAACAATAACACCTTCTTACAAAAGAACGATGCACAGGGCAATGCTGATGTGAAGTCTCCACTGATGTCCAATTCGATGTCGGATCAAAAGAATTGATTTCCATGGGACTGGCATACTTATATAGCTATGGCATACTCCGCTGGAACCATGCATTTCTAGTCCATAACATATGGAGCGTCTGAATTTAGAGGGGCAGATATTGAACTCATGTTGATCAACGTTTCTCTCCGTTTTGAATCGAATTCCATCCTAGCCCTCCAACGTACTTCTTTGCCCATACCAAATGTCTGCCTCAACTCACCCCCCCAAAGACCACACAATCTTCATAGAGCTGACTTTCGTCCAAAAAACCTGACCCTTTTGAGACCCGAAAAACCAGAGCTCCACCCATCTCGCCCCTTCGCCTCTGCCATGCCCCCCACAAGCTCCCTTTCACGACCACAGAAGCCTCCATCATGTAGTCGCCCTGGAACTCTACCTTGGTGCATGAGCGGGTGTTCAAAACCTCCTTAAAACCCAGTCCAGTCGACGATAAAAAAGAAGGGTCTGAAATCTGGGACCAGATTTCGGGAGGCAAAATATGGTCTTTCCACCAAGGGTCCACTTGGTAAACCCAATGAACATAATTGAACATTGTATAACATTGTTCTATTCACCTCTTGCGCAAATCTCTCTTGGCGCAAATATCTCTTGGTTTGTTAAAAGACCGTGGAAGCAGCTCAGCAGATCTTCAGCTCACCCAGCGAAAAGATGTCCCAACGACCGAGGATGAGCCTTGTTCGGGGAAAGACCCCTCAGGGACTCGGCACCAACTCGTCTCCTGGTTGACCACTCAGAGGAAATCCGTCAGAAAGTTGTGGAAGATGAGATGGTCAAGATCGGTGATTTCATCCACTCGGTCCATTTTTGGTTAACCAAGCAGCTCAGAGAAAAAAAGACAAAAACTCTTCTTGTAGCTTTCCTACAATACCATCTTTTTGGGGTGTCCAGTCTTCCCCAAGTAGCAAATTGCCACATGCAAGATCTTTTCCATGAATGCAACCTCTTGTGCCACCTACACTCAAACGAACACATCCACTGAAGAGTGGATGGCACGATTTCTTGAAAGACTTCCTTCCTTGACGAACAGGGGGTGAACTCCACATCACCAGCTCGGTAGAACGGCCCTGCACTCGTCCCACACGACCAGCTGAAACCACTGTAGCATGGAAGTGGATGGCATGGCATCGCCCTTGCTTTAGACCCTGTTTCTTTTGCAGCACAGCTGGTGTTCCACTTTCATGACCATCTCAGGGAGTGTCAGCGTCACTCCACGACTCCTTGATGAAAAACATGCCGACTCCACTAAGAAGTGGAAGTAGAACGACCCATATATACCCTCCATCCAATAAACATGGCAGTGGATTCTGGCCCCTTGGAAGTTTGGAAGACCGTTTTCCTCTACGAATAGGTGGTTTTTCCACTTCCATGATTGTTTCAGGAAGGGTATCTCCCAGGTCCCAGGATGTTCCATGTTCTTCTCCTCTCCTCTTAGCTGCCCAACCCCTCTGGAAACCACCCCGCTAACGGAGGCGCTAGGATGTCCTCTGGCGTGTCCGCTCCAAAGAGGACCACGCCTGCCCAGCTCACCGAGACGTAGCAACAAGGAATCAAGCCCAGGAAGACCACGTGGATCACGCCGTAGATCGACTCCTCCGTCCCGTCGGGTGTGCTTGGTCGCAGAAGCACGGTTGACCCGACTCCGTGTGCAGGTCTCGAGTCGGGAGTACTGCGGAGTCATGCGGGGTAGAAGAGCTCATGCCGTGGGTCTGTTGCCAAGTCCGTCTTGTTTCAACACTTCCCTGGCAAAACACCGACCAAAATCCAAAACACACACACCAGGTGTGAATGTGGTGTTGATAGCTGAAGTGGCCCCTAACTGGGGAAAACCCACAAAGACATGCTTTCAGAGACAATTCTACGGCTTTCCAAATTGATGTCATCCTGAAGCCAATCCTGTCTTGGGTCCTCAAGGAATCCAGGAAAGAAAGGTCGAAAAGTACTCCCCCGAAGGAAGTTTGACCAATAGGGAACATCCAAATCACCCTGAAAAAAACAAGAAAACTCCAATGTCCTATCCCTATCGGAGGATGTCGGCATGTGGATCTTGCTTTCGCCTGTGCCGACCAGTCCAACGACCGGCGCTAGCTCCGGCCAAGTGACCCGGAACCCGTGATCGGTTGAGATGGATGGAGCAATGAACAGCTTTCTCAAACCCTATAGAAATGAGAAACAACTCAGACCGTCGATGGAGTCGATGGATCTTCTGAACAACAATCAAACGAGTCATGTGGTGTCGTACCTTCTAAGAAGGTGGGACTGGGGTGGGTGCCAGGAGGGTCCAGTCATACCTTCTGAGGAGGTACGACTGGAGCCCTAGGGCCTATAAAAATGAGAAAACCAAGACGACTTTTGTGTATGGGGTTGGTTTTGGGTTCACTTTCTATACACGAAACGAAGACGACCTAAAAAACAAAAACATATATGTTGTTGTCTCTTCATACATCTTTCATCATGTTGTGGATGGTCTTGACACTCAAACCTCGAAGTCTCAAAAGGTTGCCTGGTAACGCCTAGCATGAAATTCTGATGGAAAAAAAGGTCCTCCATCTCAAGCCTTAGATAGCTTTCAAGGCCAACCACTAGGCCAACCTTCTAACCACTTTGTGTTCCAGATTCCATTTTCGTGGCTTCAAACCTTCCAACCCCCCCACCGTAGTGTCCAACCGCCCGATCCGAAGCCCTGCGGGTCGTCTCGCGCGCGACGTCGCACCATGGGTCCTTGTAGCGGCTCTGGAGCTGCGACGCCATGTCAATGACGCTGAAGTGGCCACCTGCCGCGGAGCGCCCGTGCGGCCCCAGTCCCAGGCGGAACGGCCGACCTCGTGGGGCGACCGAGATGCGTCCTTTTGGGTCCCCTGGCTGCATTCGTTTCATGCAATGTCCGATGCTTGTTCTCGGTGTCGCTTCTTCTCTGCCTCTCTCCTTTCTCTTTGTCTGGCCTTCGACCCTTTTTGGCGACACGTCGCACGGCACCAGATGATATGTCCTTGACAGACATCAACCACCAGAAGCTGGCTCCATGTGCCGGAATTGATGCGTGTTCATCCCAAAAAAAGCTCCAGTTCAGCATCTGTAACTGGCACAGAGGACTCGGAGGATCGTAACGAAGGTGTTTTGGGGTCCATGTCATGCCGCGATGTCCGAGTGGTTACCGCTATGGATGGCTGGTGTCCCCTGGCTGCATGTCATCAAGCCTGGCTGCATGTACCCCCGAGGGACGTGACCGTTGTTCAAGTGGAGTAAGTTTGGGTGATTAAGGCTCCTAGGTATGAACCAGTCCGCTACGCAAGGGATCATAAGGGATCCTGCGCAAAGGGATTAGACGCATGACAGATGTTGCACATGATCGTAGTCCAAGACATGGGATCGACGAATGGATCCACATGGGGCATCATCAATCAAGGAAATTCACCTTGGGGTTCCGATGCAACGAATTGATCGGAAACTCGCCCATGGATCACAAATCCCTTTGGCCTGCCAAGGAGGATGCCAAAATGGGCGATGCCAGTAGGAAGCCCTCTTGACTGATTGACTCGTTGGTGCTACGGGGCTGCTCAGTGCTGCGCGCCGCGTTGAACCAGAGCGACAACACGAAGGGCAGCAAACACAGCAAGGCGGCTCCAGAGGTAAATCTCCTCAGTGTGCAAACCAGTTTGAAGATGTTTGGAGAAATTTTGGGTCCAGGATAAACAAAACTTAAAGCCTGGGAAAGGCATGGCAAAACCCACCCTGGGTGGGTGTGTTTGTGAGCTAAGTTGATGCAAGAAAGGGCTACGGCTACCCTGACAATTTTACAGCTCTCTTCAAGCAGCTAATTCAACCGGTGACTTGGGATGCTTGGTTGATTAAACCACCAGTTACTGCACCATATATAAGTAGCTCAAAAACAGAGTCCGGCCTCTCGTCCTGAACTCTCGTCCCGGTCCAGGACGAACGGAGTCAAACAACTCCTTGCGACGGCTTCGTCCTCCAAGATGCAAAGAATGGTAGTTCTTGGAGAAGCAGGCGGCAATCACAAACAAGTTCACCTCCGCCAACAAAGAAGGCGTCGACGTCTGGCGGATTTGTTTTTTTTTCAGCGCATTTTTCCTTCAGGCGGTCTTCGGCGCCCCACGCAGTTTCGCACAACGGCCGAGCATGACAGGGTGCCAGTGTTGAAACCAACTCGGAGACCCACAAACGCTAGGCTTTTGAAGGATGGACAGCTAGACGCACCTGGTGAGCTCTGCACGGTTCCTCCTCTTGGGAGTGGTAAAAAAACAATATGGGGAGATCTCCCGAAGCTATCCTGGAAGAAGGGAAATAGACCAAGACTGAATTGGTTGGGGGTCTCCTTATTGAAACACACACACACACACTCATTTGGAGTTGTAGTCCACTTGAAATCTACTGAATTAGAGAGCCTCAAATCAGAGTACACGTGGTCGTCCTGGAGACAGGTCCTCCACCTGCCCTGTCCAATCGCTGCAGTTGGACTTTGAGCACTGTTTGCAAGACGAGTTTTGAAAATAATGCTGCCACCAAAATAATGACATGCAATAACATGATGAAAGCCCAAAAACTGTTGATCTAGACTCTGGCACCGTTCACGACCGGGATACATCCTTCTGTATCCAGAATCAAGCATATGGTGCGGCAATGTGCGGCATAAGAATGGAATCAGAAGGTGTGGCTGAATTCAACCAACATCCCCACATCCCCATCAACCCACATCGAGGGTTGACCTGTCCTTCCAACCTTCCAACCTTCAAAGTACCCTAGAAAATGGGACATGACCCGAACAAAACCAGCAATTTTATCCACACATATCCACACAATCTATATATATACCGTATATATTATGGGGTGCTGGGGCCTCTTTAACTGTTGGGCCCCAGCCCCTTCT